ATCTGCCCCACAGATAGGGGGAGGGTGTGGGATGGGGGTATATTGGTTTTTTTGGTGGTGGAAAATGGGCACTGGAGAAGGGATGAGTGTTTCATCATTGTATGACCGAGACTTAAACCCAAAAGCTTTGTAACTGCTCTCACAGTGATTCAATAAATAAATTTGGACAGTGCTAAATTTATAGAAAGAAAAAGTAAGGTGGAGTTCATGCCCAATTCAACAACCTAATCAATGGCTGAATAAATAGCAATGCTCCTACATTAAAATAAAAAAAAGAAAAAAGAAAAAAGAAATAGGGTCTCCCACATGCACTCACTCTGGCACATAAATTCTATTGTTTTTTTCTTTTTTCGGTCATAACCAGTGATGCATAGGGTTACTCCTGGCTCATGCACTCAGGAATTACTACTGGCAGTGCTTGCTGGACCATATGGGATGCTGGGAATCGAACCCGAGTCGGCAGCATGCAAGGCAAACACCCTACCCTCTGTGCTATTGCTCCAGCCCTGCATAAATTCTTATTGTACTAAATACAAGATTTTTTTTTCTTTTTGGGTCACACCTGGCGATGAACAGGGATTACTCCTGGATCATGCACTCAGGAGTTACTCCTGGAGGTGCAAAGGGGACCATATGGGATGCTGGAAATCAAACAGAGGTTGGCCACGTGCAAGGCAAATGCCCTACCCACTGTACTATCACTCCCACCCCTATAAGATTTTTTTTTAAAGACAAGAATATATGCTAATTTGGAAACATTGAGATGAGTAATACAGTTTTCTGCATATTTTTTTTGTCTTTTCCAAATTAATTTAAAAGGAACTATAGGGTACATTCAAAGTGCAGGAAGAGTGTCAGTGGTATCCTTGTTATGAGTTCAATTTAGTTTTACTTCAAGCAAGGCCTGGCCCGGAGGCTAGTAAGATATTCTTTCTCTTTTACATATGAAAGGACTTTAAACCTTTTTAAATGGCAAATGATCTTCACCTCATCACACCCTCTCCTTGACAGTCCCAGATCTAATCAGGCTCAAGTATCAGGAAATTCTTTTTTTTTTAATTTTTTAAAAATTTTTATTAGTGAGACACCATGAGGTACAGTTGTAGACTTACAAATTTTTGTGCTTGGGTTTCAATTATACGATGATCAAATACCCATCCCTCCACCAGTGCCCATTTCCCACCACCACGGATCCCAGTATCCCTCCCAGCCCCCATTCCCCCCTCCCACCCTGCCTCTGTGGCAGGGCATTCCCTTTTGTTCTCTCTCTCCTATTGGGTATTGTGGTTTGCAAAAGAGGCAAAGGGTGGCAATTGTGTTTAGTCTATAGTCTACTTTCAGCATGCTTCTCCCATCCTGGGAGGATCGGCCCAACACCTTTTATTTGGTGCTCCCTTCTCTATCTGAGCTCCCTTTCCCCCTAGCATGTGTGGCTGGCCTCCAAGCCAGGGAGCAAAATTCCTAGTATCTGGAAATTCTTCACGCATTGCTTCTGTCTGCCCCTATTGCTTCTATAGCCTCAGAGCGTGTGAAGCTGGAGACCCAAGGTTGGCTGCCAACTGCCTCACAATGCGTGCACTGCAGGTATTAGCCCCCTAAGCAGAATTTGTTTGTTTGTTTGTTTGCTTTTTGGGTCACACCTGGCGATGCACAGGGGTTACTACTGGCTCTTCACTCAGGAATTACTCCTGGCGGTGCTCAGGGGACCATATAGGATGCTGGGAATCGAACCCGGGTCAGCCGCATGCAAGGCAAACGCACCCAGAATCTGATCTGAAGACACCAGGCCACATGGCAGTGGAGGTTTCTGCCTTCCTTTCCCTTAGGGGTCCTGGCTGTCACACCCAGGAACTGCCTTGGGCCATATTTAAGCTTGCCACCAGCCTTGATCCAGAGACTCACACATGAATCTCAAAATGGATTAGCTCCTCACAGAGATGTCTCTGGGCCCCAAACATTTACATATTTAGAATTCCACAAATGCATGCACTCCAGGAATTCTGAAATTGAGAGCAGATTCACTAGTAGGTAAGGAGATTATTCCTATCTTCCTGAGTTTTATTTCAGAGTCTCTGGATCTTGGCCTTTGATGAGATTATATGGCAGTGGGGATGGGGGGTAGTTTGTAGGTGTGACTACCAAGCTACTGGAAAACTTTGGAGCTGTGGGGAGGAGGCCCAGTTCCACTAAAAGCGAGCTTGGAGATCTCAGTCATGGGCCCTACATACCTGGGTTCTTCTGCAGGTTCTCTTGTGGGTGAGGCTGTCTGAGTCTGTGGACAGCAGCCTTGACAATGGCTGTGGTTGAATTCTGGAGGTTTTTGGCTGCCGGGGTGCTGCTGGGGCCGGGAGGGAAACTCAACCTGCCCCCCTCTGAGTTGCCCCTGTGAAGACAGCCTGGTTCAGGGTTAGGACAACATGCGGGGTTAAGATGTACTGTGTCACTCTCTTCCGGGAGTTAAAGCAACTTCTGATCTTTGCCTGTCCTGATAAACTAACAACACTCAAACCTTCCCCACAGTTTTTCTGTTTTTGTGCTACACCCTGTTTTTGAGCTGTGCTCAGGGCTTACCCCTGGCCTTGAGTTCAGGAATCACTCCTGGCAGGGCTCAGGGGACCATATGGGATGCTGGGTATTGAACCCAGTTCAGCCATATATAAGGCAAGTAGTCCACTGTACTACTGTTCTGGAACTCTCACCTCACTTCCCTCATTCTGAGTTCTGGTTGAGAGTTTAGCACGCATAAGATATTCAGTAGAGTGTGTATTGGTTTGGTCATGCCTACCACCCCAGCAGACAGGGCTGGTGTCTCCCAGGTAGGAACATCCTAAACTCTGCTGCCAGGGTAAGGGGGAGGCCAAGTGGGTAGGATCCTTTCTCCCTCTCCACTCTCAGGGTGCAACAGGAGTAACCCCTCTTCCCTGGGGCCTGAAGGCCTGAACGGTGAGCTCTAACCTAGCTTCCTTTCAGTTCACGAAAAAATCCCATGTCCACATTGCGCCTAACACCGGTCAGATTAGCTGCACCGCCGTCTCTAGGGCGTGCACAGGCCCCGCCCCGTCTCCAGGGCGACGAGGGACGCGTGCTCTGCCCCTCGGATTCCTTAGTGTCCGCTACTTTTGTTCCGACATTGATAGTCCCCGAAATGCGCCTCGCCGCGACCGCTCCTCATGCAGTAACTGGAAAGGGCTGATGAGACAGCTCAAGGGGTTGGAGTGCGTGCTCTGCCTCTGGGAGCAGCCCGGGGGTCCTTCCCCGGTACTGCGCGGTTCGCCAACAGTCCCGTCTGCCGCCGCTCCCCTCCCCCGCCCAAACGCAGCCAACCCGGAAGCGTGCTCCGACCTCGCGTTCCCCAGTGCAGCGGCGGCTGCAAAGTCGGGTTCCGCCGGCCGGCGCCCGGAAGTGAGGCCTCGGTGGTGGCGAGCGGGAGGCAGCCGCGGCACGGCCGAGTGCCCGAGGAGGAGCCGGAGGTGGGGTTGAGCGGTTACCCCAGCCGCGGCGCCCCGGGGAAACCGTGGGGACCATAGGCGGGGCGCCCGTATAGGCGAGGAGCGGACCCGAGGAGGCGTTGTAACGAGGCTGTGGAGGCAGGAGATTCGGGGGACCCGGGCTGCAGCGGGTCAGGAGCCGATTCGATTCGGGACGGGTGCATGGCACGAGTGAAGAGCGGGTGGCTGATGTGGATCCCTCGGGAGGGCGGGCCTTTGTTGCAAGGCGACCCAGAAATCCGGAGTCCACCCAGGGGCAGGGAATAGCGAGTGAGTCGAGAAAGGACAACAAGCGCCACGGGTACTCAGGTTTCGGACTCCAGTCTCGCGGACAGGGCGTTGAAGTTCCTTAGTTTCTGGCTAAGATGCTTCTGGCAGAGGTACCGGCGGTGCAAAAAGAGGACCGGCTTAAGGAATGCCAGGAATGACTGCGTCTCTCGGGCCCTGAGCAGAGAGGGACGTCCCGGTGGAGGGTCTGAACGTGCTCCCCCTGGCTGTCGCCTGTGGAATGGACTGGGAGGAGGTCGCGTTCAAGGAGCTTGGCTGCTCCAGTCCAGGCCAGCCTATAAAAATCTATGCTAGGTGGTCAAGGAGTCACTTGTGGGACATGATGAAAAGGGAGGGGGTGTGGTCCCTGCAAGGGAAAGGTGAGTTTGGAATAGGAGGGGTTGTACTGGAACCCCACTCTGACCTGAGCCTGGAGAGGGGCCAGTTCTCCCTATACACGGTGTTGGAGAGAGTAGTATGAGTAGTAGTAGTAGAGTAAGGGCATGATCCTGACTGGGAGATGATCCAGAGTGGGGTGTGCTCAATTCAAGCAGTAGAACTCCTGTTCCTACCTCATCATCCCACCCTTTGGTGCCTACCTGTGGATGGTATTTAGGGGTATAAAGCTTACAGTTTTGCAGGCAGCAAGGGGAGTCTCAGCTGTGCTCATTCTGGATTGCTACTGCTTTCCCCAGTCCCCACCCAATCATACACTCCATGCACAGGTTATAAACAGCTCATCCGGTCCTGCACCCCATAGAGTGGGGCACCAGGCTGTGCAGAGACCTCCCTGCTTCTTGCTTCCTGGGCTAGGGTCTGCCTTAAATTAGGCATTCTGTGAGGTGCCAGCCAAATGTCCCATCTAAACTCAACCTTTTATGGGGGTGTAGAGATAGTACAGCAGATAGGGCTCTTGCCTCACACATGGCCAACCTGGGTTCAAATCCTAGCATCCCATATGGTCCTCTGAGCACTGCCAGGAGTGAAACCTGAGTAGAGCTGAGTGCAGAGCCAGGAGTAAGTCCTGAATACAGCTGAGTGTGCTGCCCCATTCTCCTTCCTCTCCCACCAAAGAAAATAAAATCTAGATTCAGTCCTTGGTAGCTCTGCACTAATCAATCATAATTTCCAAGGCAGGTTGTGCCATTCCAGTGAATACCATATACATTGGCAAATATGCTTCAGTTCTCAGGCAGATCATCTGAACAGCGCTAGTGTGGGTCTTGCATTCTCTGAAATTGGGGAGGTGGCAAGGAGAGAGGCTTGTCTGAGACTATGGACCTATGTTACTGCCACATGAGGAGTGATGTGAGGTGTGGCAGCCAGTTCTGGTTAGGATTGCTGCTTTCACCCTGAAGTGGGACAAGGGGAAGACTTTTGGAAGGATAGTGAACAGGTCGCAGATGGCTTGATGGTTAGCCAGACAGGTGGGCTGGTGTTTAGTGCCCCCTCTTTCTGTTTTGCTGAGAGCTGTGCATGTGGAGGGTCTATAGAAATCACAGAGTGGGGAGGAGTCCCCTGTGTTGTGGTGGGGCAGGGTTCAGAAGCTTGGGGCTGTGGTTATCCTGTCCTGGGACACTGGGCACAGGGATGCTTAGGGGTCCCATCTGACATCCAGTCGCCCCACTCCTCATCCAGTACAGATGGCGGTAGCCGAGACTGTGCACCATATCCACCTCCAGAACTTCTCCCGCTCCCTGCTCGAGACCCTCAACGGGCAGCGGCTGGGTGGCCACTTCTGCGATGTGACTGTTCGTATCCGCGAGGCCTCTCTGCGTGCACACCGCTGCGTGCTGGCCGCCGGCTCACCCTTCTTCCAGGACAAGTTGCTACTGGGCCACTCGGAGATCCGTGTGCCACCCGTTGTGCCTGCGCAGACCGTCCGCCAGCTCGTAGAGTTCCTTTACAGCGGCTCGCTGGTGGTGGCACAGGGAGAAGCGCTGCAGGTTCTCACGGCTGCGTCTGTGCTACGCATCCAGACGGTCATTGATGAATGCACACAGATCATCGCCCGCGCCCGCACCCCTGCCCCTGGTGCCCCCACACCTGCACCCCTGCCCGCCCCCATTCCCCCGCGGCTCGCACCCGCGCAGCTGCGCCATCGCCTGCGCCACTTGCTGGCCGCCCGCCCTGCGGGCTACTCCGGTGCCGCACATAGCCGCAAGCAGCGCCAGCCTGCGCGCCTCCAGCTGCCCGCGCCCCCAGTGCCGGCCAAGGAGGAAGGCGCTGAGGCCCCCCACATCCTGCCTGCTGCCCCGGAGGATCGAGGGGATGATGAAGATGAGGAATCCGAAGACGATTCCTATGGTGAGGATGGTGAAGGCAGTGGGCTGGGTGAGGGCCAGGCGCCCCCGCCCTTTCCGGATTGCACCACTGGCTTCCCTGCCACCACCGCTACAGTCGCCGTTGCCACCGCCACCACCGACAGCGTCCACAAGGAGGAGCCGCTGGGGTCCTCTGGCATCTCAGATTATAGTGGCGCTACCCGAGTTTTCCACCGGGGCACTCCTGCTGAGGAGGTGTTCTCTGATGGCTATGTGTCAGCCTGGCAGGATGAAGACGGCGCCACCGCCACTGCCGCTGTGGCTGCAGAGAGCTGCCCTGCTGAGACTCCCATCCCACCTGACTGCATCCTGGCAGGACCCCAGCCACCAAGTGTGAAGACACCGGGAACTCCACTCACCCTCTTCCCCTTCCACCTGGGCTCCCCAGGCCCACCCGGACAACCTCCTCCAGGGCCTGCTGGTGCTGCCCCTGCGCCCCCACCAGCCTTCTACCCAGCACTTCAGCCCAGCACTGCTCCCAGCGCACCTTTGGGGGAAGCGCCCCCTCCTGCTGCCGCCGCCACCTCAGCAGCTTGTGCGCGCAACCCCCGAGCAGAGCCGCCCGCTTATGAATGCAGTCACTGTCAAAAGACATTCAGCTCCAGGAAGAACTACACGAAACACATGTTCATCCATTCTGGTGAGCGGGGATGGGTCACAGAGGCCCCTGCTCATTGGAGTTCAGATCCTGAACGGGGGTTGGGCACTCCTGGGGCAATGATGTGAGGAAGAGCTACACCAAACACACTTTCATCTACTCCAGTGAGCAGGATGTGTCACTGAGCTCCCTGCTCTTTAGAGTTCAGATCCTGAGAGGGACTGGGCATTGCTGAGGGCACTAATGTGGGTATGTTGCACTAATGTGGGTATGTTGCTCTGGTGACCCCAAAGGAGTTGGAAATTAAATGAAGCCCCCACATGAATGCAGGGGAGAGAAAAGTGACAGACTCTCTTGCCCTTTCTTTACCTCCTCGTGTGGGGCCTGGAGAATTCGAACATAGGTGAGATCAGGAACCTGGTCTGGACTGCTGAGAGCTGCACATCCACTCTAGTCACTGTGATGCCAGGGAAAGCACTTAGCTAGGTTAGAACGATTCTGGGTATCACTGGGACCAGGTGTTATGAATGAGGCATGTAGGCCTGTGGAAGTAGAGGAGAGCTTCAGAGGTGGCCTGCACACAGAGCTGGAGGAGAGGACTAGGACTGCAGTGTAGGACCCCACAACTGCATGAAGGCCCTGAGTTGACCTTGCAGAAGCTGGGGAAGAGGTGCTTGGTGGACTCTAGATAGAGTTAAGCAGGGGCCCAAGTAGGTCCTGGAATGGCCTGGTATAAATGGTTGGTGATGGAAAGTGGTGGTGTGTAATGGCAAAGGCCACAGCTGGACACTGTCAGGAAAAGCAAATATTTGGAAGACCAGCAGGAGTAGAGCGTAAAGTGCTGGAAGGGCAGGAATTTAGGATCATATAGTCAATCCTTAGGATTGCAAAGGCGGCAGTGTTCTGAGCTGGGGAGTCCCTGAGACGTGACTTAGAATCCACACCCAAGCTGCTTTGGGGAGGAAGGAGAATTGAACACAGGTGGCACAAGGATGTTGGTTTGTGTGCAGAGGGCTTCCTAGTGCCAGATCTGTCTGGCTGAACCAGAAACTTGGCAGGTTTGGGGTTCCCCCTTCTGCTGAGACTTTTTTCCCCCCTTTGAGCCACTATGTTGGTACTTAGGGACTGCTCTCCGTGGCGCATGGGCTTAGCCATTTGAGCTATCTCCCTGGTCAGAGATTTGCTTTTTGCTTCTACCAAATAACTCCCAGAGCCAACACAGCGTCCTCTTTGAGCGAGGGTCATGGGACATGATAAGGTCCAGCATAAGAAGGATCTATGCAACAATACAAAGTTCCAGAAGGAAGGGTATACTCTGATTCACCCCTCTGTCCTGGAGGAGAGAAGTCCCATCATTGTAAGGGTGCTGGCCCTTGACAGACTGTCTCCAGAATGGTGCCCAGGACCGTAGTTCAGTATTGTCTGGGGCCAAAGAGAGAACTCAAGGATTATAAAGCAGGGGGCCTGAGCGATAGTTCAGCGGGTTAGGTGTTTGCCTTGCACACGGCTGACCCGGGCTCAATCCCTGGCATCCCATATGGTCCCCCAAGCACTGCCAGGAGTAATTCCTGAGTGCAGAGCCAGGAGTAACCCCTGAGCATCGCTGGGTGTGACCCAAAAAGAAAAAAAATTATAAAGCATTCAGTTTGATCTCCAGCACTTCATGGTCACTTGAGCACCACTGGCATAGCCTTGGTGGCCCCCAGCACCGCTGGGAGGTCCTCCAAAGACAGGAGCAGAGTGTTCTATGGATATGGTAAAGTAGGGGAAGATGCAGGACGGTTTTGAAAAGTCAAGTTGGGGAAGTAACCTGGTTAGTTCTAATGGGCAAGGGATGTCCCAGACTAGGATTTCCTACTGGATGGGCAGGGGGTGACCTTATGGGACACTGCTAGGAATAAATGGAGGTCTATGGGGGTGTGGGTCCAGGAACAAGGGTTGATCCAGGAATGGAAGAAGCTCTCTTCCCTGCTGACATTACTTGTGTGGCCCATCCTTTCTCCTGCAGGTGAGAAGCCCCACCAGTGTGCAGTGTGCTGGAGATCTTTCTCTCTGCGTGATTACCTACTCAAGCATATGGTGACGCACACTGGCGTGCGCGCCTTCCAATGCGCCATCTGCGCCAAGCGTTTCACCCAGAAGAGCTCGCTCAACGTGCACATGCGCACTCATAGGCCCGAGCGAGCACCCTGCCCTGCCTGCGGCAAGGTCTTCTCACACCGCACGCTACTTGAGCGGCACCTGGCGGCACACCCTGCCCCGTGACCGGGCCAGGGACCTGTCCACGTCTTCCTCCTGCTTCTATCATTTCCTCCCAGACCTGATGAGACTGGCTCCTGGTTTCCCCCTCTACATACTCGGCCCCTATGAACAAAATGGAGACTGGGACTGTTCCCTGTCCTGTGTGAGGCCACGGTTCCCGACTCTCACCCAAGACAGCCCTCCTTCATCTGACTCCTAAGGGGGCTCAGGTTCACTCATCTGGGACTGGGGCTGGGGTGGCCTCCACTTTGTAATAAAGGACTGTGGGTCATAAGCCCCAATGATGGATGCTGTGAAATCCTGGACTAGGAGTCCCCCTATCCCAGACTGGCTGGGGATGCAAAAAAATTTTTTTTTTCTCTTTTGTTTTGAAGCATCCCTGGCAGTGCTTGGGGCTTATTCATGGCTCTGCTCAGGGATCACTCCTGGCAGGGATTAGGAGATCATATGGGATGCTGGTGATTGAATCTGGGTTGGCCACTTGCAAACTAAACAGCCTACTTACCCTACTTACTACATACTCTCTGGCCCATGAAGATGCAAAGTTCTGGAGTGTGGGTGGCTGGAGGTTGTCAGTAAGGACCCTTGGATGCCCTCCTGGTGGCTGCACACTGATGTTCAATGGTGCAGTGTAGGAATCCCCAAGTGGTGGGGAGTCACCTCGGAGGGTCGCAGTTCTTCCTCCAGATGAATCAGCTGCCCAGAAAAGTTCCAGGGTAGAGAAGAGTTTTTTTCTAGTGAGTAATGCTGTAGTTGGCTGTGCTACAAAGGTACTGCTTTTTATTAATTTATTTTTTTTATTTTTTTGGGTCACACCCAGGAGTTACTCCTGGTTCATGCACTCAGGAATCACTCCTGGCAGTGCTCAGGGGACCATATGGTATGCTGGAAATCGAACCTGGGTCGGTCGTGAGTAAGGCAAATGCCCTACCCACTGTGCTATTGCTCCAGCCCCAGTACTGCTTTTTAGAGTAGCCTGAGGTGAAGGACTAAGGCCTTTCAACCCATGTAGTGGGCAGAGTTGAGCCTCCTGAATTGCCAGCATGGTTCTGTGGTGCCAGGAATAGGGCAGAGGCATTTTACCCTTCCAGGAAGCCTAAATTTAGTTTGCAAGAAGTATTTACTGAGCACTTGGCAAGAGGTTGTGGGCTGCACTGCACCACCAGACTACACTTCCCTGGCCAAGAGGGCACCACAGAACACCCGCTGTGTACTGTGTAGAGTAGCAGACTCTTGTTGGCCTGCCAGTTTTGCTGTGGCTTACGTAAAGTAACAGTTTCAAAAGCAGGCCTTTCAGCTTTTGAAATGATGACAAAGCAGAGAATGGTAATCAGGTTTAGGGAATCTCGGGGACAAAGTCTTAGGGGCGGTTCTATGCCAGCGAGATCACACCAGCAGGCAGACAGGAGCAGTCTACACACATTTAGGCAGCCAGAAGGTGCCATGGCTATGGGGCTGCGACTGGCTCTGTTGCTGTCACTGCTGTCACTGCTGAAGGTACTGGGATATCCCATCTGGCCTTCAGCTGGGGCCTTAGCCCTGCGCTGGCTCCTGGGTGACCTTACCTGTTGTGGTTTGCTTGGCCTGATCATTATGGCGTGGCCAGGACTCAGTCCCTGGATGCCCCCCTGGCTGAGCCTAGTGGCCACAGTGCCTATACTGAGCCTGTTACCTCCACGACCACCTCCTGGACTGCTCTGGCTGCCGGCAGACCTGATCTACATCTTGGGGCTCTTGAACTTGGGCCTGAAAGTCAGCGCCCGCCTGAGCCGCAGGCCCCCACATACCTTCGTGGACTGCTTTGAGCGGCGAGCACGTGAGCAGCCAGACCGTGTGCCCTTGGTGTGTACAGGGTACGGGGGACACTCAGTGACCTACCGGGAGCTGGACACCCGTGCCTGCCAGGCAGCGTGGGCTCTCAAGGCCTTGCTGAAGGATCCCACAGGCCACGCTTCCAAGGAATCTGCTGCCCTCCTGGTGTTGCCCTCCAAGACAATTCCAGCCCTGGGTTTGTGGCTGGGGTTGGCCAAGCTTGGCTGCTCAGTGGCCTGGATCAATCCAAACAGCCGAGGGGCACCCCTGGTACACTCTGTGCTGAGCTCCGGGGCCCAGTTGCTGCTGGTGGACCCAGGTGAGTGCTCCAGAGACTAGTGGAAACTGGACGGTTGTGAGAATTTGGGCAGAGGAGGGTTAGGAGGGATATGCAGGGAGTGTCCTTTCCTGGCATCTCTCCCATAATTATAGTTAAACCTGAGTTGCTGGATCAGGAAAGACAGTATAGCTGGGAAGCGGGCAGCAGACCTGGTTTCCACCCCCAGCACATATGATCCCTTAAGTCCTACCGGGAGTGAGCACAATCAGGTGTGGTCCAAAACCCAAACCCTCAGGCCAAAGTAATAGTACAGCAAGCAGGGCTGTTTTTGATCCCTGGGACCCAATATGGTCTCCCAAGTTCACCAACATTAATCCCTGAGCACAGAGCCAGGAGTAAGCCCTGAGTTCTGACAGGTGTGGCTCCAAAAAAACAAAAATCTTAACTGCTGGAAAGTAATTCTGAGAGAAAAAATGTTGTTTTAGCTTTTTTAAAGTTTTTTCTTGAAGAGGGCTGTATCTGGTGGTGCCTCCAGGGACTAAGAAGTGCCAGGGATCAAATCAGGGCTCATGCTTAAAGCACATGCTTGCGTCCTGTGAGCCAATTCCCCAGGCTGGGTTTGGTTTTGTTGGTTTTGGCCACATCCAGTGTTGCTCATGGTTTACTCCTCACTCTGTGCTCAGCGATCACTCCTGGTAGGTCCTGGGGATTATACAGTGGTCCCTGGGATTGAACCTGGATCTGCCGTATGCAAGGTGAGCCCTATCCATTATACCATTTATTTTTCCCTATCCTACTCCATTTTCAACATTGTTTTCCACTCCAGTTATTTTAATTTTTTTTTTTGCCAGAAAGCACTACTTATGTGCAGAAGTTTTTCATTGTTTTCTGGAAGCTGTTTCCTCTGCTTCATCCTTGGGTCCCGGACCCCCCTCACAGGCTGAGTTTTTGCCTCCATTTCTCCTTTGCTTCTCCTGCAGAGCTCCGGGACAGACTGGAGGAGGTCCTCCCCAAACTGCTTGCAGAGAACATCCGCTGCTTCTACCTTAGCCACTCCTCCCCCACACCGGAAGTGGGGGCTCTGGGACCTGCCCTTGAGAAAGCACCCCTGGACCCTGTGCCTGCTGACCTACGTTCTGGGATCACAGGGAAAAGCCCTGCCCTTTTTATCTATACCTCAGGAACAACTGGTGAGATGTCCTGCAACTCTAACCCCCATCTCTAAACATTCATGCTGATCTGATTCAGCTTTGTGCTTGAGCCTGAACTCTGATCCACCATGAAATATGAATGATCAGTACCAGAATTCTGCCTCTGCCCAGAAAAATGGGTAAGGAAACCCAGCCGAGAATTCAGCTTCTGAGCCCTCCACAAATTTCCATACTTACTCCCATCCTGAGGGCCTCAATCCCTGGCCGTGCTATCTCATTCCTCTTCTACTGCCCCTTACCACCTCACCTTTCCCACTCCTTCACCCTGCAGGACTCCCAAAGCCCGTCATCCTGACGCATAAGAGGCTACTTCAGATGTGCGGCATGCTGTCTCTGTGCGGGGTCACAGCTGATGACAAAGTCTACACAGTCTTGCCTCTCTATCATGTCATGGGCCTTGTCCTTGGGGTCCTTGGATGCCTGGAGCTTGGTAAGCCCTTCTCTGAGGATCCCTCTGACCACAGGATCACCTGAGTGACAACTTGGTGACAAGACTCCCTAGGTTTCCTAGCATTTTGCTTTTCATTGTTTGTGATCAGAGATCAAACCTATTCGAGCCCTGGGCCTACCTGGGCAGACAATTGGACACCCAGATAGTCCCCAATGTCTGCTCTTCAAGACAAAACAGGTGTAAACATTCCATTGGACTGTCTCCCTAGATACAAAACAAGAATTTAAGTAGTTCTCTCCACTGCGTTTCTGTGTGTACATGTGTGATATGTTTGTGTGTGTGTGCATGCGCTTGTGTGATGACAGGGATTAAACCCAGGTCTCATGAATGCAAAAACATTCACTATTCCATATGTGCAGATCTCCAAAGATTTTCTTTCTTTTTTCTTTCTTTCTTTCTTTCTTTTTTTTTTTTGAGCCACACCTGGTGGTGCTATGCTTGGAGGTTATTCCCAGTTTATGCTTACTGGATCATGCCATGCTGGAGATCAGATCCAGCCACACACAAACAAAGCATGGGTTCCAGTCCATTCATAGAACTATCATTTTGGTTGCCCATCAACATTGGAGTTACTCCTGGTTCTGCACTCAGGAATTACTCCTAGCAGGCTTAGGGGCCATATGGGATGTTATGCCAGATACTGAACCAAGGTTGGCTGCGTACAAGCCAACAAATTTCTCCTGCCACTTTTTCTTTTCTGGTTTTTGGGCCACACTCAAAGGTGCTCATGGGTAACTCCTGACAGTGCTCAAGGGACCATATGGAGTGTTGGAATGAAACAGGGTTGGTCACATGCAAGGCAAGTGCCTAAATTTCTATACTATTCTATACTATTTCTTAAGCTCAAAACACAGATTTCTAAAACTTGTTTTTTCTGGTATGACCCAAACCCCTCCCACCAGTTCTTTATTTTATTTTATTTTTTTGCTTTTTGGGTCACACCTGGCGATGCAGAGGGATTACTCCTGGCTCTACACTCAAGAATCACCCCTAGCAGTGCTCAGGGGACCATATGGGATGCTGGGAATCGAACCCGGGTTGGCCGCATGCAAGGCAAACACCCTACCCGCTCTGCTATTGCTCCAGGCCCCGCCACCAATTCTTTAAATAAATAATTAAAATTGTTATTTGTAAGCCACCTGGCAATCCTTGGGACTACACCCAGCTCTGTACTCTAGAGGTTGTTTGTGTTGATACTTAGGTGACAATGTGCTGAGAGAACAGAGGATTAAAACAGATTCCCCTGTACTCTTCTCAAGGGGGCAGCCCAGGTTGGGTTAGAGACAGAGATGAGACCCATATCCTGTGCATCAGGGAACGCAGTCCAGTGATATTTTGCGTGTGTGCAAGTGTGTTTGCTATGCCCAGGACTGAGCCCAGGGACTCACACAGAAATTACTCCACTGTTGAGCTACGTCCCCACAACCACAGTCCAGTAATAAAGGTGCCTACTTCTAGTGGCTTGGGAACATGACCTAAAGGTCTCTCCTTTTTCCCAGGAGCTACTTGTGTCCTGGCTCCGAAGTTCTCAGCCTCCTGCTTCTGGGATGACTGTCGACAGCATGGTGTGACTGTTGTGCTGTATGTGGGTGAGGTCCTGCGGTACCTCTGCAACATTCCCCAGGTGAGGTGCAGAGATTAGGACTTCACAGATAACACACTAGGTGTGAAATCAAAGATTATCCCTGGTAGAGTTCACAGGTATATTCACAGAATTCAAGTAAGATGCCACAGATAAAATACCTGCTCACTAGTCCCAGATAACAAGTCTCACACAAGCTTCCCATCTGGCTTCTTCACCAGAGTGCTAACTCTCGGTTCGGTGCCTTCATTTAGAAATCAGGCATTCTTCAGGAGATTGTTGTAAGAATATGTATAAAGTGTCTCACTCAGCTCCTAGATGTGAGCTGGCCCTATCCTTACAAAGCTCCCTATATAACTGTTTCCAGGCTAAACTGCCCATATGTCTCTCTAGATAAAACCTCTAGGTAATCCTTCAGGAAAAGTCTACATAGTCATCATAGAGGTGCAAATCACGCCCCCAAGATACCTCCACTGAATGGCCCTAAGTCACCTCTTCAAGTAAGGCCTTCAGGCAATTCCCCCAAGGTACAAGTCTCAGGTAACTACTCCTAAGTATAATGCCAGGTATTTCTTCTAGGTTAGACACCCAGATGAAGTCTCCAGAAAGTGACCTTTGAAGGTGACTCTCCAGATAAAGATTCCAAGGAACTAGTCTTAAGTTGAAGTCCCTAGGCCCAACATAGTTCAGTGGGTTTGACTCATGCTTTATATGCAGGTGTTCTGGGTTTGATTCCTGGCACCACACAGTCCCCTGAGTACCACTGGATAAAAAAGCCTGAGCCCTGAGCTTGGAGGTGTGACTCAAATCCCAAAAACTATAAACAGGGGCTGAAGCAATAGCACAGTGGGTAGGGTGTTTGCCTTGTATGTGGCCAGCCCGGATTCGATTCCCAGCATCCCATATAGTCCCCTGAGTACCTCCAGGGGTAATTCCTGAGTTCTGCGCCAGGAGTAACCCCTGTGCATCGCTGGGTGTGACCCAAGATGCAAATAAATAAAAGTAATTATATTTTTAAAAAAAAACTATATACAGGTTTCTGTCCCTGAATGACTCTGGTTGATATAGTCTATAATGTCTAGGAAATCCCTCAGGTAAGAGCCCTAAATAGCTTTTTAGGGTATGCTGGGTATGCTGAGTCTACTACTCATTCTTCTTGGGACATCCCTACAGCAACCAGAGGACCAGATGCATACAGTCCGCCTGGCGATTGGCAATGGACTCCGAGCTGACGTGTGGAAGACCTTCCTGCAGCGCTTTGGCCCCATGCAGATAATTGAAGTCTATGGTTCCACAGAGGGCAATGTGGGTTTTGTCAACTACACAGGGCGCTGTGGGGCCCTGGGAAAGATGAGCTGCATCCTCCGAGTGAGTTGATTGTGACACTGGAACTAACTGAGGGTGAACACACAAGAACTCTGCTGACCCCTCCTCTCCCTTCCCCCAGATGCTGGCCCCCTTTGAGCTCGTACAGTTTGATACAGAGGCAGCAGAGCCTATAAGGAACAATCAGGGTTTTTGCATCCCTGTGGGGCCAGGTGTGTATGTTGGGGCACCTGTCCTGTGTGTGGGAAGGGTGGGAACCCTACGTTTCCTTCTTAACTGGAATAAGCTACCCAGAGCATTGAGGTTAGTGCCCAGTGCTGTTGTCTACAGCTCTCAACCACTTTGACACTCAGACCTGTCTGATCATTCCTTGGAACCTCCTGTCTCACAGTTTCTAATTCCAAACAACTGCCCTGCACTGCCTGCCTATTCTGTTGGGTCTCTGTATCCATCTTTTGTTAGGCAGGTGGTGGGGGTTATTCCTGGCTCTGTACTCAGGGGTCACTCATAGCAGTGCTTATATGGTGCCATGGATTGAACCTGGGGCTCCAGCGTGCAAAGTATGCTCTCCAGCCTGTTGAGAGAGCCTCAAATTTTCTGTAAGAGGCGGTCTCTTCTTCCTCTCTTAAAGATGTAGCTCAACAGTACAGTACATGCCTTTCGTGTGTAAGATATTGGGATAGACCCCTAGTAAGGTTTAGAAAAAATCCAGTGATTCCTTATGTGGTCTTCTGTTCTTTGGTTTGTTTTTTGGAATATGTGTGCCAAGAATCATTCCCAGAACCTCACATGGAAGGCAATCCCTTTGCTGCTGAACTAAAATCCTGACTTTTTTTTTTGTTTTGTTTTTGGGGGGGCCACACCCAGTGGTGTTCAGAGGCTACTTCCAGGCTGGTGCTCTAGGAAAACCATGAGGCACCCGGCCGCCCACAGAGAAAGCATCTGCTGAGCCCTTTGAGTTTTCTCCCCGACCCCCGCCTCTCTCAGTTGTGTCTCCTGACCTGTCTAGTGTTTCTGGATCTGTCTCTTCTCCAACAGAAACCCCCACTATTGTGGGTCCACTCCTGCGAGGACTGGTAGGCCCTGAGGTTAATACCTCTTCTCCCACCCGTTTTCCTTTAGACCCTTCCCTTCTTTGACCTCTGCTTAAGTTGTTGCTGTTGCACACGCGTTCCGGGGTTCACCACAAACTCCGCGGTGCTACTGGCCAGGCACGCGGTGAGTCGGGGGGCGCTGAGCGCTACCTCATCAAGCCAGCCCTTCCCGTTTCTCCTCAGGGGAGGCAGGCCTTCTGCTGACCCAGGTGTCGGGTCTCAACCCCTTCTTCGGGTACCGCGGGCCCCGGGAACTGTCGGAACGCAAGTTGGTGCGGAACGTGAAGCGAACAGGCGATGTTTATGTCAACACCGGGGACGTGCTGACCATGGACCACGAAGGCTTCCTCTACTTCCGGGACCGCCTCGGGGACACTTTCCGGTCGTGGCTTTGGGGCGGGGTCGCCCGGACTTCATGCCCCTAGCGGGAGGCGGGCACATTCCCGGGGGCGGGGCCCCGCCAGCCCTGGAGGGGTCGGGGGAAATATGGTCTGTAGCGTGGTCCCCTCCCTCTGGGGCTGCCCATCAAACTGGCTCGCATTCCTACAGCTGGAAGGGCGAGAACGTGTCCACGAGGGAGGTGGAGGGCGTGCTGTCGCTTGTCGACTTCCTGCAGGAGGTTAACGTATACGGTGTGCCTGTCCCAGGTGAGAAGTCGCCTTCTTCAGCAGCTGGGGGCGGGGGGAGGGGGAGAGGGGGAATGTTAGGGGGGAAGCTGCTGGGCTATGACTGGGGGCCGCCCTGGCATTGAGGTGACTACTTCTCAGGATGCGAGGGTAAGGTGGGCATGGCAGCAGTGCAGCTGGTCCCAGGGCAGACGTTCGATGGACAGACACTTTACCAGCATGTGCAAACCTGGCTGCCTCCCTACGCAAGGCCTCACTTCATTCGTATCCAGGTGAGTTCAAGGTGTAGGTGTATCCAGGTGTATTCGTATTCAGGTGAGCTCAAGTTAGAGAGGTGTGCAAGTCAGTCTGGTGACTACTTTTACCATCCCCGCAGGATGCCCTGGAGCTAACTAGCACTTTCAAACTGGTGAAATCCCATCTGGTGCGTGAGGGCTTCAGTGTAGACGTGGTCGCTGATCCCTTGTTCGTGCTAGACAGCCAAGCTCAGACCTTCCGGCCCCTGACACTGGACACCTACCAGGCTGTGTGTGACGGAAGATGGAAACTCTGACCATCTGACCCGCCCACAGAACACAGGAGTGGGACCCAGTGCTGACTTACACCTGCATTGTCATGTCACCCCAGACACGTGAGGTGGCACCCTAACTGCCCAGCCTGAGCTATTTCCAGGTGCAAGGCACAGGCCAGGGCCCAGTAGCAGAGTGACAATAAACTCAGATATATACAGAGTCTGTTCCCAAAATTATTTAGCATAACAGTCCCTTTTCCCTTTTCAGGAAGGAAAAAATAACACAGCACCCCTTGGAATTCTATCTTTTTTGAGATAACAGGAAGAGCCCCCCAAATGCAGCCAAGATCACTCCTACCCTAGAATGACCCTTCCCTGCCCTCATTCTAGCACTCCCTGGCCGTAGTGTCCACTTTAGAAAACACTCGGTAGCTCGAGAAACAATCCAAGAACAGAGCTCAACATTGCCCAGAAACCTAACGGTCCCTTTTGTCTCCCTAGCATCTGTACCAAGAACTTCTGTTCGCTGTGAGCAGTGGCCCTGTCTGGGAGGAGTGACCATATCTGGGAGAAGTCCAGGGCAGAGATGAGAGTGCCAAATTCACCATGTGTCCTGCATGAAAAGTCACATGGCCACGCTGAGTCAAACTTGGGTTTCTGGATTCTAGAACGAACAGTGTGAAATGACGGGTAACCACTAGATATAAAGTAATTTAAGGGTGTTTATTTGGGAATAGGAATCAGAATCCAGTTTCACAACTGAGGGAGAGACCACTCTTGTCCATCTATACTGGAGAGGAAGTCTCCTTGGTTCCTACCCAACCAGAGAACTCAAAAGCTGAAGGAGACAAGCAATGGGCAGACAAGTGACAAGGCCAATGGCGAGTCCTACAACCACTGGTCCTTAGCCTGGCTGCTGATGCTGTCGCTCCAGCTCAGGCAAGCACAGCAGCACTGCTGGTTTTCTGACCAGCAGAAGTCAGAACATCAGAGATCAGGATTTTTCTGCAAAAATACTATTTTAAAAGTGGAATTTGCTGGAAACAAAAGGCAGTAGAGGGTAGTTCTCTGCCTACTTGTCAGTAGCATGCCATGCTCTCCTGGGCTTTTTTTCCTGCCACAGGGAGGTCTTGGCCCAACTACTTCACTAAGGTGTGGAAAGGAACAATCCTGAACACCCACCCAGGACCAGGAAAGTGCCAGGGCACAGTTCCCAGGATGTCATCCTGGAGCCAACCAGTGGGAGGTGGGATCTGTACTCAGGTCTCACTCCAGATGAGGGCAGGAGAGTGAGCTTCTTTGCACCTAAGGTGGTTCTGAGGGGGGGAAGACTGGGTCAGTGCAGGGGACCAGCCTGGAACTGATCTATTCCAAAATCTTCTGCTGCCTACAACCCTCTCCAGTTGCCCACTCATGAGGTTTCAGACCGGTGACTCTTCCTGTGAATGACTAGTTGGGACTTCCAGTCGAAGCCACAACCACAGTCACTACAGAAGTGACGCCGCTGGCCAGTATGGCTCTTCCGGTGGATAACCAGCTGAGACTTCCAGCTGAAGCTGCGCCCACACTCGTCACATACGTAGCTTCTGGGGCCTGTGAGTGTGCACCGGAGATGGCGAGGCACAGCGGGCTCCTGGGGGCCCTTCGGCAGCTTCTCAGTGGCCCCTGAGGCCTGCACTTGGGCACATGCATTCTGCCCCCCGGCATGGGTCCGGAGGTGGATAACGAACACTGACTTCCAGTCAAAGCCTTGGCCGCACTGCTCACACATGTATGGCTTTCTCAGGGGGCCACTGTACTCAGGCTCTGCTCCTAGAGGTGCAGGCTGGCACTGAGTGGTCCCAGACAGGCCAGCCCAGGCCACTGGACCCAAGCCCTTGTGGTGGCTTTGCTGCTCCTCTCCTGGGGAGGCAGCAAACCAAGGTTGCTCTGACATCAGCCAGCCCCCCGCCCTGTATTTGGGGTGACAGGGGTCCCACCCACATAGAGAAACTCACCGGAGCAGCGGTCTCCTTGGCCTAAAGAGCTTTCGTGCATCACCCCTGGCGGAGCCTTCCTGGCTGTTAACCCTGCTGGGATGGGGGCCCATCAGGCCTAGTGCTGGCGTAGGGTGGGCAGGGCGTGTACAAGGCGGGTGGGGTTCTGGCGGGCATCAGGGAGATGGGGTGAGCAATGAGGTGCACTGGAAGAGCCCAGCAAGGATAGGGGTAGCGAGGGGCTGGGCCTGGGCTCACCCAGGGAGACCACCGTGCCGTACTTCTCCAGCATCATGTCCCAGGACAGCTCCTTCTGTGATGGCAGGTGACCTGAGCCCTGCCTGCCTGGGGCTGCAGAGGAAGCCGAGTGCTGGGAAGCAGACAGGAATAGGCTGTCCTTCAGTTCTCCTGGTGGATGTGGCCAGCACCCATCCCTTTCGGCCACCCCAACCACTTTCTGGCAGGCTGAAGCTGAGGACCCCTGGGAAGAATTCAGGGCAGGCCAAATGTGACAGATGTGGCTTGAACAGTGAGTGCTGCATAGAAAGCAAAAAGCCAGGAGACCCCAGGGGATCCCAGTCACCTCTCAGGAGGAATAAGAGGGCACTTTCTTGCGGAGGCTATTCCCTGGTGGGGACTAGCTGTCAGGACTCAATAGTGCAATCACACTGATGACAGACATAGTTGGGAGGAGAGACCCTCCTTTGTGTTTCTACAGAGCAAGCTGAGGCCTAGGGCTATGTTTGTGCAGCCAGTCACCTTCACAAATTATATCAAGGACCCAGCCATGAGGTCTGCCCTAATTTCTCAGATTCCCCTCTACCAAGGCTTCATGAGGCTGGAGAAAATAATCCTGACAAATGCTGCAGTGACACTAGGGGAAGGAAGGTGACAGGCCCACCAGGACCTGGATGCTGTGACCTTCCCATTTGCCTTCGTTTCCAAACATATCATCAGGCTGTGGAGGGAGCCAGGGACACGTGAGTAGGATCTGATGGAGGAAGCTTTCTTTCCTTTTTATTTTTTATGGGGAAGGGTCCCCCAAACAGTGTTCAGGCAGCCTCAGGGCCACTCCTAGAGAACTATCTCCACATCACTGAGAAAAAGGAAAGTACATCCTCATCAGCTCTCTCCACTGGCCAACTCCCAACCACAGAGATGTAAATACCCAGAGTGAACTAGACTTCTGTAGTCCACATTCAAGAGCCCTGAACTTGGAGCAACAGGCTTAGATGAGTTTGTGCGTCTGGTTAGATGCAGTCTGGGGTTGGAAGGACTTGGAAGGAAGGCCCAGGAGAGAGCAGACGTTTTGGTGAGAAACCTGGGATTTTTGTTTTCAGTCAAGCCTGTTGAGGAGACTAGGCTTCTATGTGACCATCAAGGTCAGTGATCTTGTTCCCTTCCCTAGACCCAGCTCAGGGTTAAGTAAGCCAACCCTGATCAGTTTCACTGAACCAAACTTCTGCTCTGTAACCAACACACCTCCCTCCTGAACAGAGACCAGCACTTTGCCCCGCAGCCCACCATGGAGGCCCACAGGCAGCCCATAGGGCAGCAAAGAGCAGGAACTGTAGGTGAAAGGCACTGACAAGCTAGCTGGTGGAAGTCTGCCTGTCTGCCTGCCACAAACTACTCTCTCATGAGGCCAGCATGCACCTCTTTCCTAGGGCTGCTCACCGTAATCCTGGGTGCTGGGAAAGTAGTCGACATCAGTTTCTGGTGTCTATGGTGCCCCTCCTGAGATGGTGGTGGAGCTGAAGAGCTGCAGGGCACTAGGAAAGGAGGTGCACAGGACTCAGAAGCAGGGAAAGAGGCAGTGTTGTATCTTACCAGAAAGAACCTCCAGCCCCCTACCCTACACCTGCCCCCAAGGCAGCCCTGGAGACAATATGCATTGATCCCTGGAGAGGGCCTGTCTCCTGCTCTGGGGCAGTACATCCACCATCCTGCATGAAACCCTATCCTAGTACCACCTCCCATGGGAACCCCACACTCCTACCTGGGCCCCCAGCCCTGATGCCATTCTCTCACCTGTTTCCTGCCCATCAGTGTCGGGCTCTTCCTTCACACAGTGGTGGAATAGAACAGGCCTCTCCTCAGGGGCTGCCTGAGTGGGCTCCCCTGTCCCTGAAGGGCAGGGGCTGCCCAAGAGCTCCTCAGTAGTCTCGGCTGCTGGGAGCATCTCTCGTTTCAGCACATGGGCTGTGATCTGAAGGGGAGATCCAGTCACTGGGGCTGGCCTCTGGATCTGTCCCTCCAGGGCCACCAGCCACACTCACCCAACCCAGCAGCTGCTCAGGTTCTTGCTGCAGGCCCTCGACCAGGGCAGCAGCCGTATCAGGGCTTCCTGGCTGCTGCCCCCTCACCCAGGCCTGGATCTCAGGGGGCAGCGCGCTTAGGAACTGCTCCAGCACCAGTAGCTCCAGCATCTGCTCCTTAGAGCGCACCTCAGGCAGCAGCCACTGGCGGCACAGCTCCCAGAGCCGGCTCAGGGCCTCTCGGGGACTAGCTACATCCCAGTAGCAGAAGCCTCGGAAGCGCAGACGAGCTGCCTCCGGCTCCTCCAGACTGGCTGCGGGGTCCATGAAGGCAGGCTCTGGAGAGCCGGGGGCACTGTGCAGCTCCACCAGGGACCTGCAGAATAGGAGGAAGACTGGAAGCCAACAGGCCAGAGCTTCGTGCAGTTTTGTTTTGTATTTTTTCAGGGCTGGTGACAGTATAGCTGTTAGCGCGTTTGTCTAGCACACTGCCGACCGTGGTTTGATCCCTATAATGGTACCTCGAGCCCTGCTGGGTGTGATCCCTGAGCACTGCTGGGTGTGGCCCCAAACAGAAAAGGTTTTAAGTGGGACATGGTCAGTTAAATAGATGAATTTAACTTCATCCCAAATTGCAGCAGCCTGAGAGCACTGAATGAACTAGAATACATTGTGTAGAGAGATTCAGCCCCTTAGCTGGGGATGGTGTGAGGCCAAGAAAGCTTCAGGAGGACTCAGTGCTGCCTGAGTCCTGAAGTAAGGAAACCTGCACCTGTGCTGGCAAGTAATGTATGCCACGGAGCTTCAAGGAACTGCAAACACGTGGGTCAGGCTAGAGAGCTGGGCAAGAGCATCCCAGGGTTCGGAAAGTGCTGCGGGAGGATTGAGAAGGAGCCACACGCAGAGGCAGGGCAAGGGAGAGGCATGAGGGAAGGGAGCGGCAGCACGAGCGCATGACTAAAAGGGGGAGCTGCGTGGGTGGATGTGCACCGCGTCGGTGACCCCGGGAACTGTGGGAACTCACACTTCAGGACCCGGCACGTACAAAGCAAAGCAAAACTGGGAGACAGTTTTCTGGTGCTGTCAATGGAGCCCGGGAGTCCTCGCGGGCCGGTCGGCTTAGCCAGCCAGGCCCGAGGCGGCGGTCTTCCAGAGGGGGTGCTGTGTTTTGGACAAGAGGGGTGGAGCGTTCAAGACGAGAAGACAGACCCGGACCCTCCCGCCAAGGAAAAACAGCGCCCAGACCCACAGACCCGCTCGCCTCCGCGCAAGCCTCACGCTTCTTCCGGCATTGGGCCCACCCACCCCGCGCACTGCCATGGCAACGCCGCCCCGGCCAATCCCCAGAGCACGCCCTCTCGGCTCGGACTACGTTTCCCGTGCGCCACCGCGAGCGAGGCCACTTCGGTGTCTGGCGGCGGGCGCTCATTCCCGGGGCCTCTCCCAACTGCAGCGCTCCGTCCGTCTTGAGAGTTACATGCAGGAAATGGAGCTGAGGTCCCCGCCCCCGGTTGGCGGAGACTCTCGGCGCGTCCGCGACCCAGACTACTCACCCGAGGCCGACACCGACGGCGCGTGAGGATATCGCGCGTGCGCAAAACGACGCAGATGCCTATTGGCAACCGGGAAGGAGCGTGACCTCCGGCCAATCAGGCCTGGCACTCGGCCCAGGCCCCGCCCCCGGCACTCTTTGGGGGGTGTGGAGATGCGGTTTGGGTGCCACACTGGGCGGTGCTTAGTGTTCTACTGTCTCTGAGCACAGGCTCGGGAATCACTCCTGGCGGTGCTGGGGGATGGTATGGAATGCCCGGGATCGTGACCTAACAGAGCTGGCCGCGTGCAAGTCCCCAGTGATCTTCTAGAGATTTTTCTCACTGTTGGGGCCTCCCTTTAGAAATCGCTCTGCATTCCGCTTCCACCAAGTTTCCAAGAAAACAGTGCGTGCCCCTGGGGGCTTTGGCAACCTGGGTAGTGTTGTTGGCCTATAAGCAGGCAGGAGGTCCCAGGAGAAAACTAGGTGTAATCAGAAGGGCAAACCTCACCCCCAGGGCTTTCTTCGTCCCTTCCGGGTAATTATCCATCAAGGAGGGTGCATAACTTCATTAGACCTCTGAGGAGAAACACTACAGACTGGGACCCAGGTGGGTATCCATTATTATTCTGATTTTGACTCAGTCTCAGACATGGCCTTAATAACAATATTACCAGGAAATGGCATTCTGTCCAGGTTTATGGGACACACCTGGTAACCAAAGGTGACCTTCATCTCCATTAAGTTTTTGTTTTGTTTTTTTCAGGGCTGGTGATAGTATAGCTGGTAGGGGACTTCCCTAGCTCACTGCTGGGATTTGATCCCTATAGTGGTACCTAGAGCCTTGCTGGGTGTGATCCCTGAGCATTGCTGGGTGTATCCCTTAAAAAAGGTTTTAAGTGAGACAGGGTCAGTTTAGTGGTTATTCATCAAGATGGACGAATTTAACTTCATCCCAAATTGCAGCAGCCCGAGAGCACTAAATGAACTAGAACACGTTTGCATGCAAGAGGCCTGGCTTGGGACTATATCTGAAATACCATATGATCACTTAAAGTAGGGATGGAGTGACAGTCAGCTGTACTGCCAGGTGTGGCCTAAAAACCAAAACAATAAAAGAATTAAAAATTCTAGGAACAGGTATAAAAAAAGAGTTAGGACATGGGTTCCATCTCTGGCATTTCATATGATTTCTGATCAGAGCCAGGAGTAACCCCTGAGCACTGCTAGGTGTGGCCAAAAAAATTTTCCCCTCAGGGCCAGAGACACATTGATCTCCTGAGTCCAACAGTCCTGATCTCTGAGCACAGAGCCAGGAGTAAGCCCTGAACACAGCCAGGTGTGGCCCAAAAACAAAAATTCCACCAGTCCTTGGTTTTTTCTGAATTCTGTGATCTTACTCATTGAGAGCTACACCTTTATGTTTTTTTTTTTCTTTTTGGGTCACACCTGGTGATGCACACGGGTTACTCCTACCTCTGCACTGAGGAGTTACCCCTGGCAGCGCTCAGGGGACCATTTGGGATGCTGGGAATTGAACCCGGTTGGCTGCGTGCAAGGCAAACGTCCTACCCACTGTGCTCCAGGCCTGAAAGCTACACCTTTATGATTGGGGCTTGTCAACTTGTCCTGGTGGTGTTACCAGACTGAATTGTAGGGGAAGAGGGAGCCTAGGTGTTCTCTGCAAAAAGTGCTCATTATGAGGAAGAGTCAGCCTCTAAGATCTAACCAACTAGCTCTCCAGCTATCTTTGTCACGTCCTTGGAGTGGTGTTGGCTTTTGGGTCACACCCAGTGGTGCTTAGGGCTTACTCCTGGATCTGCATTAAGGAATCAGAGCTGGGGTACCAGAGATGGAACCTGAGCCAGCTGTGTGGTAAGTAAGCACCCTACCCAGTCTACTATTTCTCTGACCTTTTGAAAAAATTAAGAGAAAGGCGACGGGCAGTATGTGGAGTCACCAAAATGGGATTCCCAAAACTGTTTTGTTTTGGTTTCAGACTACACCCAATTGTCCTAAGGGGACCAAATGGGTTCTGTGATCAAATTCAGGTCTCTAGTTGGCAAGGCAAGCACCTTTCCTGCTGTACTCTTTTCTCAGGCACCAAAACAGGTAGTCTTGGGGGCAGAGATAGAGCAGTTAAGTAGTTAGGGCTCTTGTTTGCTCCTAATTCCATCATTGTGCATCTGCCTTTCTCCAAATTGGTGACCTTTCCCCATTGCTTTCCCACTTACACAGTCACTGTGGAAGCTTTTTTACAATGCTAACACGTTTGATTTTTTTTTTTCTTTTTTGGGGCAAACCCGGCAATGCTCAGGGGCTACTCCTGACTGCAGGAACTACTCCTGGTGGTACACAGGGGACCATATGGGATGCTGAGTCAGCCGTATGCAAGGCAAGTGCCTTACTTGCTATACTACTCCTGGTGGTACACAGGGGACCATATGGGATGCTGAGTCAGCGGTATGCAAGGCAAGTGCCTTACTTGCTATATTATCTCTCTGCCCCGACATGTAGGTTTCTGAGACAAATGAGCCGTATGTATTCAGTCCCACAGAACACCTTATGCCACTTTTAGTTAGTCTATTCAGGATAAGACCAGAAGCATCCCAATAGGACAGAGTCTGAAATAATCAAAGGTGGGGGGAGACCAAGGCCGAGGGGAACTCATTCCAAAAGAATAGCATGGAAGTCACTGACCAGTCCCTGATATCAGGCCATATTTGAAGAGGGTGAACAAACTGAGAGGTAGCCAAAGCAAGCACAGCAGAAAATTAAGTGGGGGGGGGGGGGGGGAGGGCGGGAATGCTGGAGGGGAAGACAGAACAAGGTGTTAACACCCAGTTTAAGAGATTAAAAGGACTTGAGCTATCCTGGGCTCAAATAACTTTGCTCAAGGTGTGGAGAAAGCATGTGACTCGAGTACACATTTGCTGTGATCCCATGGGCTCACCAGATGTCTGTCATGTCTGGATGGGGCTTGTCTACACTCACAGCTGTGCCCTTTAAGCCCGCACGAGCGCTCTGGGCTACTTCATGAAAGATGGCCAGCCTGGGAAAAGATGTGAAGTCAAGAGAAATCCACAAGGGGCAATTATCAGGTGTCCCATCCTGGAGGACAGGGCAGGGGAGAACAGTTCTGCACACACCTTCTCCCTTCCCGTGCCCTTTCCTCAAGGGAACTTGAGGCACTGCCTGGGAAATGGGGATGACCCTGGGGGTGGATGGAATAGAAGGCAGCCTAGATGCTGTCTATCTGGGAAAGGCTCTGGAGTTCTGGAAAGGGTGAGACTAGAACACAAGGTGGGGGTTGGGAGAATCAGTCTTCAGGAGTCATGCTGTCTGCCCTGTTGCATCTTGTGGCTGGAGCCCACCTGTGAGTGTACAGACAAGCTGCAGCTCTGCCCTGTGGGCCCGCAATTCTCTGACAAAGATACACCCCACTGTCATGTGTGTACTGTGCTAAGTACCAGGCTATTACTTTTCACGTTTTCAAAAGGAAATTTTTTTTTTATCAGAGCTTCTATAGACTCATTTAAACCCTCTAAAAGTCTTCTGGAGCTGGACTGGAGGTTGAGGGACTGAGTTCCAGTGCTATGCAAACATTTACAATGTACATTCATTCCAAGCTTTAACTTCCTTATGAGTACTGCTCCCACTGCTGGAGTGACACTGGGGCAGGGCAGGGTCTGAGCTCCTGGGATGGCATCACAAGTGGCCTCAGTTTCATGAGGTAGGTTAACACTCCTCACCTCTGAGGGATGAGCACAGGTGAATGTAAGGGTCACCAGATCATGCAGAAATGGCCCCAACTTGTCATCTGGAACAATCATTACAGTCACCACTTGTCTGAAAGACACAAGACTCCAGAAACAAGATACATTCAACATTGAGCCTTGGAGAAGTCTTCACACTTGATCTGTTACTCCTACACTCCAATTCTACCTCTGGTGGGTCTGCCAACTCAGGAACCAAGGAAGGTCCTGCCCAGTTCCCACAGCCCAGCTGGCAGAATAGCATGTGAGGGCTGAAAGCTGACGGTCCAGATGGTGGGCTGGGCGAGGTGGGGTGGGGGGGTAGGGGGGCTGGGTGGCTGGCTCAACTGTATCCCTCTATATGCCTTTTTCCTCATTTGAGGAGTGGGAACGCCAACCACAGCAGTATTTCCCAGGGGTGTCAGGAATTTAATGGCGCTCAGACAGGGCCTTACAATTGGCACGCACTGGCTCTTATGAAAATCCTGAATATCACAATGTCTGTAAATACCCTCTCTGTAGGCTTGTATCTTTTCCATCCTTGCCTCAAGAAAGGAAGCTTAGGTTCAGAGCACGATTACTTTTCCAAGCACCAAGTACATGTTCCCTACCATTTCTTGTCCATGAGTCTGGTTCCCAGGCCCTTGTGTGCCTGGAACAGGCTGGCTAAAAATACTCAAAAAACCTTAAAGAAACTGAGGTGTCAGCACAGCAGCCAGTTTGTGTAGACCTGGGTCACCTCCATCCTCCTCACCTCAGTTTCCATGACAAGTAGGATGTGGCATTGTGTTGCCACGTTCAATAGTGGACTGCCAAGTATCAGTCTTTCAAAGTGCTGACAGCCAAGTCTCTCCCTCTCATGTTCCTGCATAGTAACCTCGTGGGGATAGAGAAGTTGTGAATACAATGGCAAATCTTGTTGCCATGCGTAGAATCACAGAGCACTTCTCCTCCTAGGTGTGGTACTGAGAAAACATGGGAGCCTTAGCCGTGGAAGTGAGTCACAAGAGGCCAGAGAGATGAACTCAGTTCTCACATGGGTTTGAGACTGCAAACCTGACTTCTGAGGCAGAACTGGCCCCAGTTTCCTTCCCTTGAATACTGTCCCTGGCCTGAGGGCGGACCTGGGACCGCCGCATGGCCTTCTCACCAGTGTGTATCCTCTGATGATGAAAGAGGGCTGGACGCTCTCGGAAGGCCCGGCCACACTGCCCACACACGAATGGCTTCTCGCCTGTGTGGATACGCCGGTGGCTAAGCAGCACAGCACCCTTGGCAAAGGCCTTGCCACAGTCCCCGCAGCGGAAGGGCCGTTCACCAGTGTGCAGCAGCTGGTGCTGGGTAAGGTTGGAGCTGTGGCTGAAAGCCCGGCCACACTGCTTGCATGTGAAAGGCTTCTCACCTGTGTGCACACGCTGGTGCTTGAAGAGTGAGGAGCCCTGGCTGAAAGCTGCACCACAGAGCGTGCAAGCATAGGGCTTCTCACCAGTGTGCGTGCGCTCATGCTGAATCAGATGTGAGTTGCGGCAAAAGCGGCGGCCACACTGACCACAGGCATAGGGCCGCCCGCCTGCATGGATCTTGCGGTGCTGGCTGAGGTTGGAGCCGTGGCTGAAGGCCTTGCCACACTCACTGCAGTGGAAGGCCTTTTCAGCCGTGTGGATGCGCTGGTGCCTCACTAGTGAAGAGCTGTGCCGGAAGGTCTTGCCACAGGCCGAACATGTATAAGGTGTCTCACCACTGTGGATGCGCTGGTGCTGTGTCAGGTGTGATGTCTGGCTGAAGGCCTTGCCGCACTGTGCACACTCATAGGGCCGCTCCCCTGTGTGCGTGCGCAGGTGCTTGAGCAGGTCAGAGCTCTTCACAAACACCTTGCTGCATGCCCTGCACTCAAAGGCCTTCTCCCCTGAAAGGAGATCTGTGCCAGTCTGAAAGACCTCGCCCAGATTGTCCCAGGTTGCCGGCTCCTGCCCAGGAGAGAGTCTCCGAGGCCCATGCCAAGTTGTGGCTGTGCCTATTCCCGGTTCCCCATCAGTGTGACTGACCTCCAAGTCTGGGATTCTTGGGAAGGTTCTTCCAGAGGACTCCCGGACACAAGGCTTCTGTTGCTCCAACACACCAGGCAGTCTGGCTGACACAGAGCGGTCTGTGAGGACCTTTCCCTGGGGCGGGCCCCCCTCAGGAACCCTCAGAGGGGAAGTCAGCCGCAGGCTTACATTGGTGTCACTGTTGCCAGGGCCTAGCAGGAGCTTTTCCCAGTATATAACTGACACTCCCATGGGCTTTCTCTGCCAAGACGGGGAGGTGACCTGCGAACTCTGCAGGATTTTTCCATGTTCACTGGCACCAGCAGCAGGGATGATCTGAGGAGGAAAAGGCCGAGGGAGACCCCTGGGGAAGGTCCTTGACGGTGCTGCTTCTCCAGAAACACTTCGGTCCTTTGCTATAAGCCGTGACCCTGAAGACAGAGAAACAGTACATGCCTAAGTCATCCTATTTAGGAGGGAGAGAACAGGGCAAACTGAATGGAAACCAAGGGGGTCCCCCAGGACTAGGTGTGGGGGCTGGGAAGAGAAGCAGGGAACAGCCACCCTTCCTGTAGCTAAATTTGGGGCACTGCCTAGCTTGCCTTTGCTCTTTACACTAGTGGCAAACTGGTGTTATACAACTCTTTCCCGTGAACTCTGTATCCAGGTGAAAGCTGTGCCCTAGTGCCTGGAACAGGCTGGCTAAAACTACTCAAAACAATAAAAACATGGAAAAGGAGGGAGGGAAAGGACCCACAGATGAAGTGGTGAGGCAGGATAAGAAGAGATGTCACACAATCTAAACTCAGAGAAAAGACATGGTGAGTAGATCTCACCATGTGTGGGGTAACCTCAGAGATCCCCTTTTCAAGGACAGCCAAGGCTGGAATGTCTAAGAGAGGCTGCTGGGGGAAGAATGCAGGGGTGAGGTGGGGGTGGGAGGCAGACAGAGAAAGGAAATTGGCCGAAGGAAGAGCATGTAAGGCACTGAAAAGGCAGGTCAGTCAGAAGTTAACCCCCAGCTTAACCCACCCTGAGTCCCCACTCACCAGGGATTGGCCTTCTTGGGGAGTTCCTGGCTGGGTCCATATCCCTCCCGCCAAGAACCCATGGCTCCTCACCATGCTGGAGCTGAATAACCACATGAGGTCTGGAGGTAGCAAGTCCTGTGGAGGAGGAAAAGCAGGGGATGGCCCAGTGTCTGTTCAGAGTGACCACCCAACACGAGGCAAGAGTCAGGGCTTTATAGACATGAATGGTGTGAACAGTGCAACCCAGGAAAGCAGGACATAGCACCAGTGGAGATTTCAAGGAACACCTCAGTGGTTCCCATGAGAATTCTTTTAGTTTAGTCAAGTGCAAAGGCACCATGGCCAAAGAGACACACAATCAGTGGGGAGGGGGCTGCTTGAGGACCATCAGAAAGGAGTCGCTGTTGGCGTCCCAGTCTGGCAACAACTGAGCTTCCCATATAGGACCCACAGCCTTACCCAGGGAAGCCACTAGTGCGAAGTTCTCCAGCATCACCTGGCGGTACAAGGCCCTCTGGGTTGCATCCAGGAGCCCCCACTCCTCCCTGGAGAAGTACACAGCCACGTCCTCAAAGGCCATCAGGCCCTGCAACAGCAGCCAAGGAAGAGGGACATGCTCTAAGCCAGAGTTTGTCTGTTGTTTTGTTTTTCTGGGGAGGGAGGTTTACTGAATGTAACCTGTGGTGCTGGGAGAGGGGATTAGGGACTACTTAGGGTTTGATACTTAGGCACCCTTGGCTATGTTGGGGTGCCAGGGATGAACTCAGGGATAAACCTATAAAGTACTCGCCCTAGCCCTGTTGAGCAACTCCCCAGCCCCTACTTTTTAAGTCATCTGTCCACAAAAAAGTTATTTTCTCTTAAAGGGTATGCTTGGATAAAGTTCATTTTATCAATGAATTTTAAAGTAACAAAAAACATAACTTTAAAAGTGGTTCCTTTAACTTCAAAATAACAATCTAATTTTAAAATAACACAAAGTATCATTCTGAATGGTCTTTACTTCTGCCTTAGCCATCTGTAAAATATTTCTTCTGTGCAATTTAAGCCCAAGCTTCCCCCAATTGTCCTGCCTTCCCAAATTACAATTTGTTCAACTACAAATGCAGATGAAGTTATGCTTCCACTCTGGAAATCCCGGCCAGAGTCCTCGCCTAAATTCAGTTTCCCTTCAAATTCCCGCATCTCCTGGAAGCAGAGATGGGATGAGTACTTCATGAACTAGTTTTCCCAAAGCTGCCGCTCCAGTCTGGCTGGGGACAATCTCTGCATCCTGGCCTGCCACTTGAGGCACACAAGTCTCCCCCCAAGAAGCACTAAATTCGGCTAACCCCCTCCGAGCTTGTGCACGTGCGGGTCCCTGCCGCTGTCATTTTCCCCGAGACTTTATATGAGCAGGGGTTCTCGCGTGCACGCTGCACCGCCCTGGATCCCCGCGGCAATGGGGAAGGGGCGGTTTAGGAAGCCTAACCCTTTGCGTTTTCTGAGTCCGTGGGGAAGGGACCTGGGTGCGCGGTCTCTGAGCCGCATCTACTCACCCGGGCCAGGTTGGTCGACATGGCCACCGCCATTCGCACCGTCCGCTGAGGAGACGCAGGAAGGGTCGGCCCCCTTGGCGCCCTCCTGGCCCTGGGCCTCAGCGTCCCGAGCCCTCAAGTACGCAGAAGCCCAGGGAGCCTCCTGTGGGGCCACCACGATGCACGTGGCATTGAGGGCCGCCTATGGGCCCCGAGGCCGCCGCTGGCGGACTCAAGAGACCGGGGATGAGAGGCCGTGTGGCGGGCTGGACAGCTGCGGCGAATGCACGGGGAGCAGCTTCTCCGCTCTCGGCTCCCTCACGACCTTCGCTTCAGCTCCCGAAAGCATCGAGACAAGAAAAGTGACCACAAGGACCCGTCTCTGACCGGCGGCGGAGCGGAAGCTCCGGACCCGCAAGTCCAAGCTTCGTGGGAGCTCATTGGCCAAGAGCACAGAAGACGCACGCGCAGAAGCCTCTGGGTAGTGCGCGTCCCGCCCCCCACCCCCGCCCCCGTCTCCAGGGCAGCGCCTGAGCATCGCCGTGAGGGACGCTGGGAAACGGAGTCCGATGGCTGCTCCCCCGGACAATCCGATGGCTTGTCGCTATTCTAGGTCAATCGCTGAGTATGGCTTCCTACCCGGGAAATCTAGATTAACCACGGTTGTTGAAAAAATGAAGGGGACCCCAATGGGGTGCACCAAAGAACAAAATTTGCAGATTGGGCTGAGAGGGGCAGAGCTTGGGCCTTGAGCCCAGGTTCCAATTCCAGCTAAACCTCTCTCAGGGTGACTGTGGGCCCTAGGTTGGTCAAGGGGTAATGATCAGTTTTGCTATCCAAGATTTGCAAGCCCCCAGCTTAATCCTTAAATCTGAAATTGTTCTCTGAGACTTCCTCAAACCGTTTTCCTTGCCACACTGAATGATGCTGAAACTTCATTTCACACACCATTTGTCCTTATGTTATCAGGGTTATGTTATTTTGCCCTCAGGTCACACCATTAATTCCCTGTGTCCCAGCTAACTCCCCCAATCTATCTCAGGGTTTTCAACAAATAAAACAGGACCAGGAAAAGGGCATAGAGATAGTACAAACATTAGGGTGCTTGCCTTGTATGTGGCTGACCCATATGGTCCTCTGAGCACTGCCAGGAGTGATTCCTTAGTGAAGAACCAGGAGTAACCGCTGAGCATCATCAGGTGTGGGCCACAAACAAACAAACAAACAATAAACACAATCTATCTCTAGGACTTAACTGCAGGCCGTGGTACACTTTAAGTATGTTGATAGGTTAAAGGCAACTGCAAAGCCCAGAATTAAATAAACTCAATACCTGAGAACAATATTCCTGGAATGGCAATTAGAATAGTTCAAGTTGCTGAGTGGTGGTGCTGACAGGGACTGCATCAACAACTTCAGAATAGGTTATCTTGGTGAGTGGGCAGATGAAAGAAGGAAGGCCTGGGGGTCTGGCCAACACCTTAAGACTGGATTTTTTCAGATTTCACTCTAGGACCAGGGGAACCATAGGACCAGACCCAGTCCTTTCAGAACTGGAAAGAATTGGGATCAGAAAAAAGGGCCAGACTGTGAAAAAGAAAAACCGCAGGACTGCCACTAGGGATACAGCTGCTTTGGATGATAGCAGCCCAGATTCAGTTCTGCTACACCCCACTTCACAATCATATGTGGTTTTAGTGATGGTGGGTCATGGGCCCCACCCATAGTGCTGAGGGGCTACTTCTGGCTCTGCACTCAGGCATCATACCCAAGTACAGAATACTGGGGATTGAACCAGGGTTGGCCATGTGCTAGAGATAGAGGCTGAGGCATATTGGAGATGGCAACAAGATAAGAAGACCAGAATTGGTGCTTATTCACTCCTCAAGAGATTCATTAGCATTTCTTGACAACCCTATGAAACCATGGGATTTCGGTGGAGCCGGTGATTAATTCAATGGCAGACAGCTGGAAGGGGCTTCTGCTCTACCCCTTGATACACATGGATTAAGATTCCCAATATTAAAGGTGACAATATAGCCTTTATTACTATATGTTCCAGAACTGTGTGAGGCAGTCAGTTCCAGGGTTGGATAAATCCACTATAAATCAAGTGTTCATGAAAATGCTTAACCTGAGTCAGAGTTATCACTGTTATCACAGAGTTATCACAGTGGGTCGGGTGTTTGCCAAGCATGTGGCCAACTTGAGTTCGATCCCCAGCATCCCATATGGTCCCCCAAGTACCACCAGGAGTAATTCCTGAGTGCAGAGCCAGGAGTATTCTCTGAAATTGCCTGGTGTGACCCAAAAAGGGAAAAAAAAAAGAGGAAAAAATGTTTAAATTCCCTGGAAGTTCTTACTAGACGGTGCCCACCCAGATATAATTCTTGGCCAGAGTTGTATCAAGTCCACACCTAATCTATTGACTACCCATAATTCTCTTCCAAAAAGAGTAGATACAAGAGAACCAGAGGGGGGAGAACCAAGCAGGGAGGGGGCTTGCCTTGCACATGGCCGACCCAGGATTGAACCCCAGCATCACATATGGTCCCCCAAGCACTGCCAGGAGTAATTCCTGAGTATAGAACCAGAAGTAATCCCTGTGCATCACTGAGTATGACTCAAAAAGCAGAGAAAAAAAAGAGTAGATAAAGGGACAGAGCAATAGGGCAATGCCTTATACACAGCAAACTCGGGTTTGATCCCCAGCACCCCGCATAGTCCTCAAAGTGCCAGGAGTGATCCCTAAGCATAAAACCAAGTCAGCCTAGTGCACCACGAGGTGTGACCCCCCCAAAAAAGAGAGGGTCCAGAGAGATAGTACAGCAGGTAGGCTGCTTGCTTTCCATTTGGCCAACCTGGGTTCAATCCTGGCACCCCATGTGGTCCCCTGAGTACTGCCAGGAGTGACCCCTGTGCACAGCACTGCCAGGTGTGTCCACCCCAAAAAAGAGAGAGAGGAAGTTAATGGAGGTACATCACTCCTAAGCCCGCAGGGGTGACAGAAACCATACGCATGTACCAGGTAGAGTGGGGACAGTTCTGTCAAAAATGTCGACATTCCTGGGAAGATCAGAGAATACATGGTTCCTGAGAGCTTCCCAAATACATGGCACACCTGAGGGTGGGTGCTGGGTCTACTGGGTTTGGTGTTTCTCTCAATCTAGTTTCAGGATGGAGAGATTTCATGCTGAACAATGTGCCAGTGGTGGCCAAGGCCAAAGGCTTTCACACACCCATGGCTTTCTTTTTTTTTTTTTCTTTTTGGGTCACACCCGGCGATGCACAGGGGTTACTCCTGGCTCTGCGCTCAGGAATTACCCCTGGCAGTGCTCAGGGGACCATATGGGATGCTGGGAATTGAACCCGGGTCGGCTGCATGCAAGGCAAACGCCCTACCTGCTGTGCTATTGCTCCAGCCCCACCCATGGCTTTCTAAGGCCTTTTGCCAGTGTGGATTTTTTACACTGAAGGAGGAGAGAACTATATTTGAAGGATCTCCCGCACTCTGTATGCTCGAGGCCCTCTCCTCACTGTGAAACTGCTGGTGCCAATTGCATTAGTACCTCGTGGTAAATGCTTTCCAGCACAGATTGCACTCATAGGGTCTTCTCCAGTAAGCACTTTCCAGGGTGGAGAGACCAGAATGAATCATGTAAGGTTTCCCACACTGCTTGTATTCACTCCAGTGTGAATCTTCTGGAGAAGAATGAAGTATCTAAAGAATTTTCCACATTCTCTGCATTCATGGGGCCTTTCTCCACTGTGAATTTTCCAATGCTGAATGAGGGTCAACAAAACACTTTAAGACTATGCCACATTCACTGCACTTGTAAGGCCTTTCTCCTGTGTGAATCCTCTGGTGCAAAATAAGTGCCTCTTTGTAGTTAAAGATTTTCTTACACTCATCACACATGAAAAGCCTGCATGGACCTTCTGGTGTTTCCCCATTTTTTATTTTATTTTATTTTATTGCTTTTTGGGTCATACCGATGATGCACAGGGGTTACTCCTGGCTTTGCACTCAGGAATTACTCCTGGTGGTGCTCAAAGGACCAGATGGGATGCTGGATATCGAACCCGGGTTGGCCGCGTGCAAGGTAAATGCCTTACCTGCTATACTATCGCTCCAGCCCGTTTCCCATTTTAGGTAGATATAAAGGTCTTTCCACAGTCACTATACATACACATGGGATGTATCTGTTGTGTGAAGTTTCCGGTGACTATCACAGACCAACTTCCCGTTGGGGGCATTTCCAACTGTTAGGCAACTGAGAGGTCTCTTCAGAATGAGCTATCAGTGGTAAAGCAGGGAAAAGGCCTTCAGAAAGGCTTTCTCAAAACAGCTGTACTTCAGGATCTTTAAGCAGGTGCAGATGTCCTGCTTCTGCTGCTGCTTGAAGCTGGGTGCAATCTGCTCAGAGGCCTCCTCACACCTATTGGGTAACATTGGGTTGTCCTTGTACCTCTGGCAGGAAGTTTAGGTTTACTGAGCTACTCCCACAACAGTGTCCCTAAGGCACACCCAATTCCATCAGGCACTAATAATCCTCTCTCTCTCTCAAAAATATATTTTGCTTTTTGGGTCACACCCACATATGCTGGGAATAGAACCCGGGTCGGCCACATGCAAGGCAAATGCCCTACCTGCTGTACTATGGCTCCAGCCCCTTCTTTTTATTTTCTAATACTCAGTTTTCTTCCTGATTGCCATGATGACATCTGTGACAGGATGGGTCAACATTGGCTTACTACTGCTTTTACTGCTTTCTAGGTTTGATTCCTTCAAGATCATGTATGGTTGTCCAACTGGAGGAAGAGACCTGGCAGCCCAGCATGGTAGACAGGACTCTGATCAGCAGAGCAGATTCTAGGTGGAGTTCAGGTCTTGGTGAGTAGGGCTGAGGGAATACCTTGGTTTCGGGTATGCACCCTGTGCATCGCTGGGTGTGACCCAAAAAGGAAAAAAAGAAAAGAAACCTCTGTACATTTAAAGTATTTAGAGCTGGAGAGAGAACAGTGGATATGTGTAACTTTGCTTTGCACATAGCCCACTCAGGTTTGATCTCCAGTTCTCATGTGGTCCGGAGCCCTGCCAGGAGTGATCCCTGAGTGCAGAGCCAGGAGTAAATTCTGAGCTCTAGTGGGTGTCTAGAGGGGGCGGGTTGCATTTCC